GGGATCCCCAAATCCTAATCAAGAGGGAAGGACAGTTGGGCCCCTGGAGAGAAGGAGCTCTTGAGAAATGTGAAGAAGTCTGAGGGTAAGGGGAAGCCTTTTATTTTATTCCCCCCACCCCCTACCCTTTGCCTTGGTGAATGGCAGAACTGAACTGAGAACAGGGCAAGCCAACCATTCCCCAAAGGCCAGAAGCCTCATGCTCAGGAATTAGGCCCAAATTACCTTCCCTGAGACTTCCAGAGGCTTTCCTGGTCAGCTAGAGGAAGGCCTGGATGGAGCCCAGCGGCAGCCTCTCCAGCCCCAGCCTCAGGTGGGATTCCTAGGCCCCTCAGTCTCCCAGAACTGAAAGCCTGGCCCATGGCCTGAGCACTGCTGATCAAGTAGGAGACTTAGAGGGTTGAGAGGGGCTGCTGGTGAGCACCTTACTTTCCCCTTCTTTAGACCCCAGGTCTATGGAGAATGGTCTAGGGTGCACCTGGTGATGGCAGAGGCAGATCCCAAGAGAAAAGACAGTGAATGGGCAGTGGAGTGGGGAAACATTTATTTGACTGAGGGAAAGCTACAAACAAATACCAAAAGCGAATCACTGAGACAGGCCGGGCACAGACATTTCACACGTAGCACAGCATCCACTCGCTCACTACAAATGGTCTGGGAAGGGAAATGGGTAGGGGGGAGGGGATGGGTCTGACCCAGACTATCCCCCTATTTACAAGCTTTGGGACCTGTAAGTCAGACCCTTAGATTCACAGAAAAACACATAGACATTTTACATTGAGGATTACTTTTGTTTCCGTTCACTCCCAGACAAGGCCTTGTGGGGCCTACTCAGGCAGCAAGAACTTATATCTCACTATTTCCCTTTCTTCTTCTCAATTTCACCCCTTTGGCCCACCTGCACCCCTTCCCACCCCAGGACCAAGCCACCAGGAGACCTGGGTCTGGGGAGTAGGGAGGGAGGGGGCAGAGGTGGGAGAAGAGACACAATCACAGACTGCATCTACTGCGAGGCCAGCCCTACCCCACCTCAGATGCTGCCCCTTAGACAAGTTTCCAGCTGAAACTCAAAATACAGCCATCATTCTTTTATAAATAAGTTAGGACACAGATGGGGAGGGGAAAGTTCACATTAAACATGCGAGTTTCTTCTTTTTTTTTTTCTCCCTGGGGGAAGGAGTGTAACCACAGACAGGAACATTCAGAAACACTGGCGCACTTGGGGTGATCGGGGAGGCGTAGGGAGCACGGAAGGAAAATAATCATCATCATCATTATTATTATTATTAACAATAATAACAAAATTAAGCAGTCCAGGAGAGAGGGAGACACAAGAAGACCTAAGACCAAACGAAAACTCGTAATACAGGGCCGGGGTGAGGCAGGCTCCTGGGAACCGGTCCCCAGCGGGCGGCGGCAGCACTGGGAGGCTCTGAGGGGCCAGGGCTGGGGGCGGCGGGACTCTTCGGCCGCCCTGGGCTCCTCAGGGCAGGTTCAGGGCTGGAAGGCGCTGCCGGCCGTCGCTAGGCTCATACTTTTCAGTTTGTTGTCTTTCTTCCACTTCATGCGCCGGTTCTGGAACCAGATCTTGATCTGGCGCTCGGACAAGCAGAGCGCGTGGGCGATCTCGATGCGCCGCCGCCGGGTCAGGTAGCGGTTGAAGTGGAACTCCTTCTCCAGCTCCAGGGTCTGGTAGCGCGTGTACGCGGTCCGGGCCCTCTTCCCGTCGGGCCCGGTCATATCTGGAGCAGACAGAGTAGAGCCGAGAGGCAATGTTATTTCAGTAAGGGAGGGGACACTGGCTGGGAGGGGGGGGCGGGGAGCAGGACCCAGGCGTCCCTGGCACCCAGCTCAGCTCGCTGCAGCTCCATCCTTCCCAGTCCAGACACCCGCTTTCAAGCTCGCTTCCTGCACCCCTTTCTCCTGCAGCCCCACTTCTGCCAGCAGCTAAGGCGCCCGGCTTTGTCTCCTGCTCCCCGCCTGCCTCACCCTCGCTGCGCTCAGGCGGCCGCTGGCCCCGGGGAGGGCGGAGAGAGGCTGCACTTTTGCCCTGAAAGCTCTGGTGCCTGCTCACCCCTCCGTTGCCAGCGGCAGTCTCAAAATTTCAGGGACAAGCAGGAGCCTTCTTTATATGATATAAAACCCATCTTGCCACCCAGGAGGCTGGGCAGGTAAAACCCCAGCCGAACCTTGGAACAAATTATTAAAAAAAAAAAAATCCACCACCACCCACAACTAAGACCTTCCCTGTCTGGCTCTCTCCTCTGGAGTCCTGAGGACCCATGGAGGGACCTCTCGCCTCTGGAAAAATAGGAATCTCTATATGAGGAAAAGCAAGGCTGTCCTCGCCCCCCCCCCCAAGGCAGAGAAGGGAATCGAGGGAAGACAAAAAAAAAGGAGAGCGAGAGAATTACCATGGCTGATGTGGAGCTTCCTCATCCAGGGGAAGATCTGCGGCGCCTGGCCCTCGGGCGCGGCCGTGGAGGTGGCCATGGGCTCTGGCTGCGCCCTCGCCAAGCTCGGGCTGCTTAGCTGGCTCGCCGCCTCCTCCGGCTCCGAGGACGCGCTGGCCTCATCTATTTCGGTGAAATTGGCGCTGGAGCTGGCTGGGGTCGCCTGGTCGGAGGGGGACGAAGCGGAGGGCTTGGCGCCGTGGCTGTCGCCGTTGGAGCAGGGCAGGGACTCGGGCGAGGACAGGGAGCAGCTCGACGCCGCTGGCCTGAAGCGGGGCTCCTGGGCGGGCGTGGGGAAGGCGCGCGAGCCCTCGCCCACCGCCCCAAAGTGGCTGGAGGAGGCCGAGGAGCGGTTGACGCTGAGGTCCATCCCATTGTAATTGTAGCCGTAAGAGCCGGTGTGCATGGCAGCGGGATCCCTGTAAGAGCCGCTCAGAGAGCTGCCACTGCCATAATTTAGCAACTGATAGTCCGGGCCATTTGGATAACGCCCCGAGAAGGAGTTTACAAAGTACGAGCTCATTTGGGTGATTTTGGAGGGCTTGATTTGTGGATCGTGGTCGTTATAACCCTGTGCTTCACGATTTATGATGTATTAATGAATTATAGCGATGCACTGTACTTCGTTTTGCTATGTATGCGGCCAAATATGGGGGGGGGAGTTGGAAGGGGGATGGGGGGGCGTTAGGGAATCACGTGCTTTTGTTGACCAGTCGTAAATTCTCGCTGATGACCTCAAGAGGTAATTCATGCTCTATGGTTACAAATAATGACGATCCGAGAATCGTTAGGGCCGATTCAATGCGAGCCTCGGAGAGAGGCGGAAAAAAGGAGAAGGGGGAGAGACCGGGAGAAGGTTGGCGGCGGCCTCTGAGCAGAGCGCGCCACCTCCCGGCGATCGGCGGGAGCGCGGCGCCAACCGCCATGGCGACACCGGTCGCCTCCCCTCCTGGTTCCCTGCAACAGCCTGAGAAAGAACCCCTGGTCTGCCGAGGCTCCCCGACGAGGCTCAGCATTTCAGAGAAGGGCCTCGGATGGGCCTAGGCTCACATTCGTAGTGAAGTGAGGTAGTTTTCTATTCGGTATCTTCCCCTTTGCGCTTATTATTAAAAACAAAACAAAACAAAAAAGCATCTCTAGATGAGATAACCAAGAGCCACTTGCTTTTCCCTTACTCCGGTTTTTCGAGTTTCTGAGTTGAGATGGAAGTTGAGAGAGGAGGTGAGGATCTGGGACTGAAAGATGTGTGTGGAAAACAATGATTGCAACGGATTGTGCCCAAGAGCTTGGCCCTGTGCGTTTCCTGGAGGGGTTGCAGGGTGCCCAGGCTGCGCCGGCGGGGTTGGGCTTCCAAGGAGAAGCTTTTGACTTCCCCATATCCCTTCGAATCCTCTTTCTGACCTCCCTGCCCTTGCTCAGGCCCTAGCAGCCCCTGCGCAGAGCAGGGACCCAGGAGGACGCAGGACGCTGGGAGCTAAGGGGCCTAGTCCAGGAGAGACGCAGTGGCGACGCATCAGCGGCTGGGGATAGGGGGAAAATTGTGTCTGAGAGTTGGGGTCAGAGCGGGGCCCCTTCACCTCCAGGCCAGCTGCTGGCTTTTGCAATTGGAGGCCCCACTCGAGGCCCCTCACTGATGGCTGGGCAGCTTCAGTTTGCCCAGTTGCTCCTCGCTTTCCAGGAAGGTATCCCAGGACGAGTAGCGCCATGCTGAGCACACAGGGCGGCAGAGACCAGCGCAGCTGGGCACCTTCTGCGGAGCCGGTTATTTTCTTTAAAAATAATTTCTTATGAAAAGGGGAGGGGAGAGTGATGGGGAGCAGAAAGAAGAAAGGAAAACCATCTCCGCAGCTTGCCGCCTACGTGAGGGTAGAGGGTGAGAGAGAAAGGACAATTTGGAGTTGAGGGGATGAGACCAAAGTGCCCTATCACCTGGCCCTTCCTCCTTGGGGACTCCGAAGAACTGGACAAAGTGGTGGCTTCCGCCCCCTGCCAAAAGCGGCTTCACATTTCCCTACTTGTCGATAAGCCCCTACTTGAGGGACCTGGATCCCTTTGGTTGCGGGGCCTGAGGACACCCAGTGGCCCCAATTCCATCTCCAGAGCTATAGACAGGGAGCCAAGGGCCAAGGCCGCTGCCGGAGGTCAGGCCAAAGGCTGGGGGCCTCGCGGCGTGAACCAGGCAGAAAAGATCTGCAGTGGCACCGGGACCCGTCAGCCCAGTTTTTGCAGGACTCGGGGCATAGTGTTCTCGGTGGCATCTCTCATGCCTCAGGCAAAGGAGTAAAAGCTAGAGAATAGGCGAGAAACGGCCTCCTTTGCCCCCCAAATCTGCACCTACAGAGGCCCTCTAAGCCTCAGCACCCGATGCATGGCGCTGGGGCCAGGAGGGCAAGTGTAACCTCTGAGAGTCGTGTCCGCAGGCCCGCTGGGGAGGCCTTGGGGCCCACTGGGGCTCCTGCCTTCGCTATGGAGCGTCCGGCGTGAAGGGGAAGAAGGAGAAAAAAGTGGCAGGGGAGGAGCGGAGGTGACTGAACGGCGAGTTTTCACGTCTTTATTATTATTATTATCATCATCATTATTAATAATATTAATATTACCGAAGTATTTCACGTCCAGAGCTAAGACAAGACTACAAACACAACACATAGAAAATTAATAAAATAGAACTTTGTTTTCTTCTGAGGCTCTTCTTTTTACTTCTAGGTAGTATGTGCTCCTTCCAGTGGCTTTGGGGATGGGACAGGAGAGACGACAGGTCTGGGATCAGGGCGTCTTCGAGGCCCACTAAGGGGACAGCGAATCTACCATTGAACCGTGCACGGGGTGGGGGTGGGGGGGACATAGACGACGTGAGGAGAGGCGACATGGACAAGAGCATTTTGCTCTATTTCCAGGAAACATCAAGTGAGTCAGGTCCTCAGTTCTCACGGGGGCGCTGGCTCCGGTCGAGGTGGGGTCCGCGGGACAGGAGAAGGCGTGGGGTGCTGGGTGGGCGCGGGCAGGGCGAGCCCCGCGCGCCCCGGGAGGGACCTCTGCGGGCGGGGGCGTCCTGGAGAGCGCAGGGCCCGCGGCGCTGGGCGCGGGGGAGCCAGTCCAGAGGCTCCCGGTCCGCAGAGCCTCCTCCGGGCACCCGGCAGGCCTCTCCCTTCGCGTCCCCCTCCTCTTTCCCCCTTCCGGCGCCTTCACTCGGCGGCTTTTTCCTCCTCCTCCTCCGCACTGAGCTGGGACGCGCTGAGCAATTTGCTCTCCTTTTTCCACTTCATGCGCCGGTTCTGGAACCAGATCTTGATCTGCCTCTCCGTCAGGCACAGGGCGTGCGCGATCTCGATTCGCCGCCGCCGGGTCAGGTAGCGGTTGTAGTGAAACTCCTTCTCCAGCTCCAGCGTCTGGTAGCGCGTGTAGGTCTGGCGGCCTCGCCGGCCGCTGGGCCCGAAGGAGGAACCTGTTAGGCAGAGAGGAGCCGCTGAGGCTTGGGGTCACCGGGCCGGAGCCCCCTCCCCCGCTGGACCCTCCAACAGGGACCCCTGCCTATCCCGGGACGCCCTCTGATCCCCCGGGCTCATCCCCTCCCCCATTCCTCCAGCGCCCCCTCCAGATGGGGGGGGGTGTCCCAGGCTAGCGCATCTGGACTTTCGGTGGGGGAGGGGAGGAGCGGTTTGAACTCCCACCTGAGCCAAGGGGGAGGGGCTGGCCAGGTGTGTGTCTTCCTAGAGACATCTCTGCTCTCCCTTCCCTTCCATCCATCTAGCCCCCCCCCACCCCTTTGATAGATTCCAGCCCTTAATCCGTAATGACGTGGATTGATCCACAGTGGGCATTAAGGGTTCCTCACTTTCGTGTCCCACTAATGGACATCAATTTGGGATTTAAGGCCGGCAAATAATCCTACCTGAAACCCAGGCGCCTGTTACCCTCCGCTCCCCCCCCCACCCCTGACTGCTCTCTCTGGTCCCCCCCCTTTCCTCTGACTACTTCCCTTTCCTGGTGCCCCATCCTGGCCCACCCTCGCACCCCAAGGGAAGCAATCTGGGACAGACCCCTCTCGCCCTCTCAGGCGTCACACTGACCCCCGCCCCTTCCATGACGCACTCCGTTTCTAATGGAGCCCTCCTTGAGTGAGGGACTGGACTAGGGTCTGGGGGCTCTAAGGAAAGCAAAGCCAATGGCTGTGGCCCCGCGCCCCGCCCAAGCCTGGCGCTCTGGAAGACCCCACTGCGCCCACTGACTCCACTGAGTCCAGCTGAGACTTTGCAAACTTTCTAACTCCTGAGAGAAACGGGCCCCGAGTCCCCGTGCTGGCACCATCGTCCCTGCTCTCCAGACCGAAATGGCCACCATTACCCCGTGGGGAGTTGGGGAGCCCTCGCTAACAGTGCCCGGGATGGGGGGGTGGCCAGGGCGGCGGCGGGCGGGCACACTCACTGTTGCATGAGTTCATCCGCTGCATCCACGGGTACACCGGCGTGGAGCACTTCTGCTCCTCTGTCTCGCCGAACACGCTCTTGTCCTGCGCGCAGTCGGACTTGCGCTGCTCGGGGTGGAACGCGGGCGGCTCGTCGGCGCCCGAGAGCGCGCAGGCCGACTCCTTCTCGCGGTAGAAGGCCGGCGCCGGCCCGTAGTCGCAGGGCGCCGCGCGCCCATAGCCGCCCCCGGCTGGCGGGTAGTAGGAGGAGGCGGCGAAGCCCTTGTCCTGGCCGGGCGCGGGCCCGTAGGGCGCGGGGTAGTGCCTCAGCGGGTCCGCATAGCCGGAGGAGTAGAGCGGGAGCTGGCCCAGGAAGGACTCCTGCCCGCTGGCCAGAGTGACGGGGAAGGTGGAGTTCACGAAATAGGAACTCATTGGGAGGGGAGGCGCGCGCGGCCGCTGCTGCTCCGCCGGGTTTATGATTTGTTGTGTTTTATAGTCTGAGCGCCGCGCCTATTAGTAGTATATCCGAGATTGGGTTTTAGCTGAGGGGGGATGGCGAGGTGCCAGTGAGGGCCAGAAGGAAATACAACCATCTGATCCAACACTGACCAATGGCAGAGGCAGGAATTGTCAAATAGCACCCAGGAGGAGCGCAGCCCGCACGAGGGACCCGCTCACAAACCTATCAACCTTTTTTCCCCCCCTTCCTTCTTCTCCTTCTCCTTTCTCTCTCCCCCAACAACACAACGCGTCCTGTTCCACCTACGTAGGATCTGCGAAAGAGGCGTCTGTGCCTTTAGGGGAGGAGGGAGCATTTGGATTGAGACCACCCCATCCCCGAGTGATTAAATAAATATATTCCCTCCCCACACACACACACATACACACACACACACACACACACACACACACACACACACACACACGCAGGACAGGAAAAAGTTCATTGTGTTTTCAGAAAGTTAACCCCTGAGTTGCTTGGGCCCGCTCCCTCAAAGGAGGGCTAGGTAAAACCCCCAAAGCCCATTCAGATACAGACACAGAAGGTTTGTGTCTAGGGTTTGGGGTTAGTTGAAGGTAGAGGAGTTCTCCGCAGACTGAATAACATTGCTTTCAGAAAGAGGCGAAGACCGAGAAGAAATAACCCGAGTCCCAGGTTTTTAATATCTTTTTCCTGTTTACCAAATATGCTTTCTCTCCCCGAAGAACAGGTTTATTATTATTCCTGCTTCTCCACAACTCTTAATGGTTTGAGGGAGACAGAAGACAGACAGCCCACAGCTCAGGGAAATCAGAAGAGCAGCAAATGAGAGGAGGCTCTGAGCCCAAGATGCTCTTTTTGGGTTGGCTGCTGAACTAGGAGCCTCTTGGATGGCTGCAGGACTATCGCTACTACCCCAGACATCATGCCTGGTTCTAGTGGCCAGACAGCCCTATCAGGGAAAAGGATACCAAGAAAAGAGGTTTTCCATTCGCCCCACTTGGGTTAATAGAGACGAGTGCTTTATTTGTCTAATCTCTATCCTAGCATCTGCCTTTCCTTGTCCCTTACCTCTTCCCCCAAAGATGTGTGAATATCTTTTGCTATGGAGTCTTAGGAATTAAGACTGTTCCAGTAAGTCTGGGCAGAGGGAAGAAAATATCCCTCCTTTAATTTCAGGTCTTCACTTCCTTCCAATATTTGAGGCAGGTATCCAATATTACATAGGCCCAGGAAGAAGGTAGCCTTCACGCCCTTTCCAGAGCCTATTTATTTTTTTAAATAGTTTCTTAAATACATGGGTTTGGTTTAGTTTTATAAAGAAGGAGGAATGTTTGAGGTCTGCTGAGGGACCTCTCCTCTCCAAACACTTGAAATCCTTTCATCTGCCTCTCAGCATCTCTACAGTTCCCTCTCATACTTTGTGTTTGTGTCACTAAGTGTGTTTATATCACCTGGCTTGTTGCTCTATAGTTTGCATGGGAGAAAGAGGACATGTTCCTGGCTCTCTTGCCCACTCAAGGAAAGTGCCCATTGAGGCCAAGTGCAGAGAGCCCTGTAAGGATGCATTTCCAACATGCAGGCAGAAGACCAGGGTAGTGAAGGCTCATAGCCCTCAGGTCTGGGAACAAGAAGGGAGCAAGGTGTGGAACAAATCTATTGGGCTAGATGTTCCCTCTGCTGTCTTGCTTTTTAGACTCCCTTTTTTAGACCAACTCTACCCACCCCATAGATGGTACAAAACACCAAGGAACCTAGTGGAGAGTTGAGGTTGGAGGGACCAAGAGTGGGGACTTGATCAACTACAGAGTGACCCCAAGGGCTCCCTCAGGCAACATCTTGTGGAACCTTTCTGGCCAAGAGACCCTTTCTGGATGGTGCTACATTACCCCTCACTCTGGTTCAATAGGGTTTTGATGAGGATTTAGGAAATGAAACCTAAACTTTCTAATGATGGAGAACCATGAATGTCCCAGAATAGCTGTGATTGGACCCACTCCTAGAGAAAATTAAGGGACATTTGATTAGGGGGAGCAAATGAAGAGAAGTGTCTGAGTCTCTGGCTCTCCTCTCTGTCACTGAGGCTGGGCTCTGGACTTCATTCCTGCCTGATCCTCTCTGGTCACAACACCCTCATCTTAGGACAGAGGTGGGCTGCCCTGCAGGTCTGGGCAGAGTAATATATACCATGCAGAGGAGGCTTTTCCCCCTGTGGAATAAGCACTAAAATAATCACCTTAACCTAAGAGTCCCAACCCTCAAATTAACCTCATCTCTGCAGGTTGCCGGTCATGAGATAGAGCTGCAACAGCAGGGCCAGGGCGCCTGGAACAGGGCATGAAAGGAAATAGAGCCTCATCCCTCTTATCTAAGCCCAGAGGTATTTATGAGCGTTTATTCGTCTGATCCGTTTGTTTGGGAGAAAAAGCAGGCGAGAAAGGCCCGGCCAGAAGCCGCCTGGCTTTGGAGCCAGATCTCAAAGAATCTGTATGTATATGGTTCGGTCCACAGCCCGTCTGTCTGTCTCTGAGGAGGAATACGTAAATACACAGCGGGCACTGTCTGTCTGAGGGCCTGGGGAGTTACTCCCCGCCTCAAAGAGAAAGTGTGTGTATGAAGAGGTGGATCTAAATGTGCCCCACGTCTTGAGTACACACCAGAAGGCTTGGAAGAATAGGCCACAGGCAGGATTTATAATTGTCATTCTCTGTGCAGGTTTGCTTTGCCACGGGCGCACAGACTGTGCTAGCTCTACTCAGGGAAATGTCTGCAAAGTTGTCTTTTGCTCAGGAGTAAAATTTTCTTGTACTGTTAACTACATGGAGGTCTATTTCCCTCAAATGTGTGTGTGTGTGTGTGTGTGTGTGTGTGTGTGTGTGTGTGCCCGCGCGCCCAGGGGTGAAGACATTGTTGAGTTCCTATTTACTTTGGGACACAAAGCTCCTCATCCCACCCCACTTTCTTTCACTCCACCTCAACTTGAGCCAGAATGAGGAGATTAAACCTCTCAATTCAATTCTCCCCTCGACTCTGATTCTCCAGTTTTGAGGAAAAGAAGTTATCTGGGGGAGGGGGAAGACAGTGTATTTGCCCCAGAGGATTATTTTGGGGTGGTAGAGGTGAGGAACTCTGGATAGAACACTGTGTTAAAACCCACTCAGCTCAAGATCTAGACAAAGATCTTATTTCCATTATGCAAATGTCGGCATCCTCTCTGATCTTGGGGGAGTGAGCTGAGGCTGTAGGCCTACACTCCCTGGTTCCCCCCCCTCAGGCCAGGGGTGGGGAGACGACACCCTAAGACCCCAGCACTGCCTTCACCCTCAGTATCAGCTGCCTCCCCACTTGTCCTGCTAGATTGTCCACAAGAAATGGTCCTCCGAGTGGCCCACGTCCTTCTGGGCCTCCCGCCGGGCGCCTCCCAGGCCTGGGCCCACTGACAGCCATAAAGTCATTCCCACAGCTGAAAGCCCAGACTCCAGGGGCGACCGCGGGCGGGGGCGAGGCCGCCGCACTGGCCTCAGCCCTGGCGGCCCCTCACCTCCGCAGCGTCTCCAGACCCCTTAACACCTCGGTCTGCCTGGCACCGCAGACAATTTCCTGCAGCCCCCGCCTGGGAGCCGGGCCCGCTGCACCTTGAAAGGAACAGCCAGAGCTGCCTCCTGGGGCTTGAAAGCCCGGGCTAATCAGTAACCTGCGAGACAGGGGGGCCCCAGCCTCACCAGGCGGCCAGGCGCGCACCCCGCCCAGGCCCCGCCCGAACCGAACCAAAATCACGGTGTTTGGGTTCATGAACCCCACTCCCACTCCTATTTCCTACACCCCCAAGTATATTTGCATCGATTTCGCTTAAAACGACGTAGGATGGGGGAGGGGTCGGACACTCACTTGCTGACACCAACAGTTTCCAGAAAACTCCTTGCAATTTCTTCACCACCAACTGGCGAGCGCCAGCGGCCAGCCAGGCGGGCGAACACAGGCCCGGTTTGTCTTTTGACAACCAAGTGGAACTGCCGGGCCGGCGCTTCCCTTGGCCGAGAAGAAAACTAAATAAACCTGGAGCGGCCTTGGCCTCGGATCTTCCCAGCGGCCAGAGCCCCCTCTCGCTCCCGTCGGGATGGGGGTGGGGGGTGAGGCTCACAACACTGATACCCGCGCCTGTGGCCCAGCCAGGCCTCCTGTCCCTGGGAGGCAGACCGAGTCCCCGAAAGATCCGCTTCCCCGGCGGGGTTTGGAGCCGAGCTGGGGAGGGGCCGTGGCGCCGTCATCCACGCCCGGGTGCCTGGGAAGCGTCGCTCCGGGGACCCGAACCCCCAGCTCCCGCGGGCCCTGCGCGGCCCAGGCTCGGCGCGTCCAGCACCGCTCGGGCAACGTCGCGGGTTTGCGGCGCCGCCACAGCCGCGTGTCTCCGCATGGACAGTAGATGGCAGCAAACCGCATAATTTGGGTCAGAGCAAAGTGTCTTCAGAGATTTATAACCCGCCCAGACTCCTGCAGAAAAGACCTTTGGTCCGGTGGGGTTGGGGGATTTTTCCGTTGAGAATAGACCCTGGGCGCTGTGGGTGCTAACCGAGAACTTCTCTCGCTATGGGGATCCCCAGGGGCGCCCAGTCCAAGCCTGCGCAGAGGGCATCTACCTGGGTCCCCAGGGTCCCCCTCCCACGCCACAAGTGGCTGCGTCCCACTCCGCCAAGCTCTGCACCCCAGAAGCCGGGTCTCCCCATCCCCGCACACACAGGCACCGCACAGTCCACAGTCCGAAGGGCCCCAGAAGCCCGAGAGACACGACCCGAAGCCACTTTAAAAAAAAAAAGCAATCACCTACTTGTGCAAACCAAACCAAATCACAGTTTCTCCTGCCCTCTGCGGCCCAGCGTCGCTTATCTCTCCTCTAGCAGCTTCCGGAGAAGCCCTCACACCCCATATTTTAGTCCACAGCTCCAGGCTTTCAGCTCCACCGCCCCCACCCCCACCCCCAGCTTCCTCAGAAGCTCTGTCCTCCAGCCAGTGGCTCGTCGCCTCCCTGGAGGAGGCCTAGCTGGGAATTGAACCAGTCGTCCCAGTTCAGGGCCAGGCAGCTTTCCAGCTCCAAACACTCTCAGTCCCTCAGATCCGCTATCAGTTTCTTTTAATGTTGTATTGTTTGTTTGCAAGCTCAAACAGCTAAATATGCTCAACAGATTCTTCACAGTCACCACGTTTGGATCCAAGAAAGTTTGCTAAAGAACAGTGCGTTCACATCAGACACACACATGGCATTTTTCTTTTCCTCCTCCACCGAAATCAGCACATCCCATAGCAGTACCGATAAAACACAAGCCACAGAATCAATAATGCACAGAAAACCACCACGCTGTGACCTACCGCATGAAAACCACCACGCTGTCTCCCTGCAGAGCGAGGCTCCCTCCTCCGGGAGTGGTGAGGGACATGGGCATTCTCTGGCAGCCTTCCTGGAGGATGGCCCTAGCTCTGGGTACCTCCACCCACAGCCCCTCAATTTACAGCAATGTCTCCAAAGGGAGCTGGGGAGCATTCCTCTGTGAATTGTCCTTTCTGTATTTCTCTTAGCCGCCGCCTCCTCTCTCGCCAGCCTCTGTGGAGACTGCAGACCCTCCAGAGACCAGGACGTCCCTGAGCACCACAGCCCCTTGTGCCAACGACACCGGGAAGCCACCGGACCCGCACCGGGCAAGAGAGCCAAGCGGGGGTAATTGAGAGAGGCCTGGATAAGGAAGGGATGGTGGGGGGAGCGGTAAGCCCACCGAGGCCACAGCCATGGGTTTCTGGGGGCATCGCGGAATCCCAGACACCCCCATCCTCTCCATCGCAGTCTCCTTCCCTGAACCTCTTCTACCAGCTTCAAAAGGTGATTTAGAACTTGCCTCCGCTGCCTCTGTGGTCCCTCTTCCCGGCTTCCCAGCCTCGGCTCTCCCTCCAGGAAGCAGCCGCCCATCTCTCTGCCACCGAATTTCCTGGGCAGCCTCTCCCTACGGCGCCCAGAGGTGGGGCTCAGCCCTGTCTTGGGTCGGGGTGTGGGGGGAGGAGGGAGTCAAGCCCAAGCCCCACCCCCCCTTCCAAACATCCATGCAGAAGAACAAGAAGAGAATTGTCGAAGCTCCCTTACCTTTGCAGACCTTGGGATTTCATTTTCCCCCCTCCGGATTGAAAATGGAATGGGGGGGGGGAAAGAGCGTTCAGTTTCTTCTTCAGCTTCCAGATAATATTGTCCCAACCGGAGAGCCGTTGCTTCCCCTTCTCTGACTTGGTGAAGAGGGTGTTTCGCTTTTCTGACATTTGCATAGAAAATGGAGTAAGTTCTGGCTTTGAAAAATGGCATCAGCCTGCGGTCTTGGGCAGATTTTCCATCTCCCCTCCATGATGGCTAAAATTCCAGCTCAGCAAGCAAATTAACTTAAGAATTCAAATTATTTTTGGTTCTCTCTTTTGTGTGATCCCCACCCCCTCCTTCACTCTCTCCTTCGCTCTTCTCTCCTCTCCCCCTCTTTCGTCTTCACCCTCTTTCTCACTATCGAGCTGACACTGAAGTGTAAAAATATCAAGAGGCTGGAGCCCTGAAGGAGGACCGTGCTCCGACCTAGGTGTGGTGTCCAAAAGAATGCTGCATTATAACCACCAGGGAAATGATAAAAAGTTCATGTTCACGATCGCCCGGCCACATGACCGGCGCCGGCCAATCGCTGGATTCAACCACTCATAAACTTCTATCACAAAGTTGTAAATTTTCATAAAACAACAAGGAATTTATTGCATTTCTTCATGGCTGCTCCACCAGCAGCCTTTTCTCAGTCGCCATCTTCTTTTCTTCTCCTGCTAGCTTTTTGGGGAAACCCCAATCTGAGAAGGGGTGCGGTTTGGGGTGCTGGGAACCAAGGCGGAGGCGCCGCAAGAGGCCAGCTGGAAAGAGGGTGCTTTTTGGAGCCTACTCCGAGCCAGAGCTCGGTCTGCGCCTGTTAGTAAAATTTTGCCCCCAATTCCTCCGCATGGAGACTGTTCTCAGGCGATGTGGGGGTGAGTCTGAGGCAACAGTCAATGTCCAGAGGTGCCATTGAGCCATGGCAAAATGAAAGCTTCCGTCTCTCCATTGAAGGGCCCTCTCCTTCTCAGGCCCATAGCTGGGGGACCCACCACCTGTGAGACTTGCAGCGTTGAGGATGCAAGTGCCCTAAAACCTCTAAAGCCTAATTTTTGCCCCCAGGAGAGTAAGTCATCTGGGCCGGGGCCAAAACTGACAGAGGAGCAGCTCTTTTCTGCTCGGTGCACCCCAAAATTGGAGGAGGACAAAGGCAGAACCCAGCCTTTCCAGCCCAGACCTGTCCAGGTCGAATAAACAATTCAGTGCGCTCTCCAGGGGTTCAGTGATCATTAAAAGGGGACACTGTATATTTACGGCCTTTTACTTGCAAATTCAAGTTAAACAAAGTCTCATAAAATGTGCTTCCCTTCCAACTCCCCTCCCCCTTTCCTCCCCATGCCAGGTCCTCCAGTTGAAATAACCCAGGGTCTCCACAATCGAATAAATACTAAAAAACCGCTCTGCCGGTTTTACTGTCTCGTCGCGGGTTTCCAGGGGACTTGTCCCGCATTCCGAAGTGGTTTTGGGATAATGACAATTCAGCCCGTGGTTTCCAGGTCGCCTTGAAACACCCCCACACTTTAGTGGAGCTGTCAGGGCCTGAATGCAGGAAACGAAATAACCCCCCCAAATTTGTTCTTTTTCTTTCTCTCTCTCCCTCTGCTCCCGCGAAGCTTCCAGGTTGCGGGCGGCGCAGGCGGCGGATGGACGCGGACGAGCCCCGCTCAGAGAGGCCCGCATCCGGCCGAGTCTGGTGATCCAGCACCGTCCAGACCGATCTAGCACCGTCCAGACCCTCGCTCATGGGGCTGGGATTATTTAAAACTTTTATTTAAACCACCTGTGCCAGGTTAGAACGAGATCCGTTAAAACAAACGAAAGTAAAAGAAATGAAAAGAATGTAACTGAACACAGCGCTTGCTGAAAATACTGGCCGAGTGGCCCGGGCGGCGGGAAGCCAGAGGGTTTTGAGGCGGCTGGAGCCCACATTTCGGTCTGTTCTGCGGTCTTCCTCTGCCCAGCGATGCTGGGGTGCATTTGGATGTTAATCTTTTCTTTCTTTTCACCTTTCTTTGGAATGAGGCCTAGCATTTCAGAACTCAGCTCCTTTCCCAAGTCCTTGTGGTGGCTGCAGGGTTACAAAGTCCGCAGAGCCTGCATGCAGCCTTACTTACCTTGAAGGCCTGGATGCGGGGCGGGGGTGGGGGTGGGGGGGATGAGCTGTGGAATTTTTTGGTTTTGCTTTTCGAGTCTGGGTGACTAAGTACATGGGTTCCTGGGTGTGTTTTCTTGGGGGCAAATGTAAATCTCTTGATAAGCCAGTGTGTGAATGGGAATATGTATAAATGTGCCTGCTTGTGGGTGAATGTGAATATATGTGTTCCTGGGAGTGGAGCCGGATTTGTGTGAGTATCTGCGTATTTGCGACTACATGAATACTGGAGTTTCTTTGTGACCTTTGGCGATATTGTACATATCTATGTGTCATGTCTCTAAATAAATAGCTATGATTGTGGACATTCTTATGTGTCAAAGTGTGTACAAAGGTGTAAGAGGAATGTACGGGATAGGGATATGGAGGCTCATAAGTTAGCAGCTCCTCAGAGCAAGGAACATCTGAAAAGAGAACAGGCCCCAACATTTTAAAAACGGGTGGTCCCCAGACGTCGGAGCATGGGGTTGCTGGACCGTCATCGCTGCCCTTGATGGACCCACCCAACCTTAGAGAGACACAATAATAGAAGGCACTTGTTTCTTTTTAATCATGTTTTATTCCCCGCCCCCCCCCTCCGCCCCATCCTTCAGATATCACGGGGAATGTAAAGAGGGACTCGGGGACTGGCAGGAGCAGCGGACAGGCACACAGTGGGGACAGGAGCTACTCAGTGGTCGGCAGGCCGGTGCGAAGGCTCTTCAGCCGACCACTGCTACTGGGAGGCAAGGCTCAGGAGGGCGGGCAACCTCACACGTTAGTCTAGACCCATAGTCCACAAAGACAGCCTCAAAGCGGCCTACAAAACAGCAGGATTTTACAAAGACCTTACACAACAGCCACATAGAAACAGGAAGGCAAATTCCAGATCATGTCCTCTGCGTGTTGTACAAAAACAAACCCAGGAGATTTTCCTATAGGTAGTATGTTTTTCCCCCCACCCCCAATGTTAAGAAACCCCAATTTTTCTTTCCCTCGTCTCTAATTTTTTTAAACTGTTTTCCACTGAAATAGTGGTTTCCCCCTTTTATTGAGTTTCCTGGTTCGGTTCCCAAAGCTGGGCTTCGCACTCTCTCCTCTTTCTCCTCCTCTGCCCATTTCTAGGCCCTCACTCCTCCTCTTCCTCCTCCGCCTCGGCCTTGTCTCGGCCTGTGGCACTGGGGCTGGCGGTTTTGTTCTCCTTTTTCCACTTCATGCGCCGGTTCTGGAACCAGATCTTGATCTGCCTCTCCGTCAGGCACAGGGCGTGCGCGATCTCGATTCGCCTCCGCCGGGTCAGGTAGCGGTTGTAGTGAAACTCCTTCTCCAGCTCCAGCGTCTGGTAGCGCGTGTAGGTCTGGCGGCCTCGCTTGCGGTCTGTCCCTACGCACAGCATTTAGAGGAGAAAAGGAAATGAGTTCAGAAAATGCCAGGAGAGTGCCTATGTCCATCTTAAAATTGGAATGTGGTTTTATTCTAGGGAGTAGAAGAGGCAAATTTCCCTACTAAGACCCAATTCTTGCTATCTGCACTGTAGGCTACATAGAATCTCTTTCTTTAGTCTTAATCTAGTGCGGATCCTTCCACAGGCCTCTCAAGTCAAACATTCCCGTTTGCAATTAAAAAGTTTCTTTCATCTTGGCTTCTGAATCCAGGAAAAGAGCACCTGCTAGCACTTGGAGGTTCTGATCTTAAAAGAATGTATGTGAATCAGAGGAGGGTAATCCTCCTGCCACCCTTTGGAATCAAGGACCCCAAACCTCTCCCTTTGGCTGCTAGGTCTAGTGACCATGAGGGGTAAGGGGTCAATGGGCACCATGTTAGTGACTTTATGAGGCTCCAGGCTTGGCCTGAGTGGATTTCTCAAGAACAGGAGACAAAGGCGGATCACGCCCCATCTAAATGCCACCTCTAGCCTGTTGTGGAAGCTTGAAGTTGGCCTAGGATTCTTCTAGTGGTTGGTGAGACTCACACAGGGCCAGACTGTCCTGTCTTGACCACCTACAAGACAGCTCAGCCCTGCAAAAGCAATCTTGGAGCCTCCAGGAAGGACTAGGGGAGAGGACAGGCAGCAACCTGGGTTGAGGTGGATGGAGCTCCAAATAATTGGGTTTTGGGAGCTGAAGGGCTGAAGGGAGCTGTCCAGGACAGGCCCAGAATCCTGGAGAGTGGAGGAGAGTTGTGTTGGGGGAGGTGCTGGTGCCAGTCCTCCTGGGAAGGAGATAGGGGAGAGGAGGGGAGGGCTAGAGGACCTCATTTCAACTCAGATGAAAGCCAAGCTGAAATGTTTACAAAGTTTACGAGCAGAAAAATTTCGGCTTTGATAAATCAACTGGAAAGGCAGTTGAATTATGGGACAAGTAATGGAGACTGTGACCACCAGTGCCGATGGTTGCTTGAACTGGCTCCTCCACACATCCAACTCTGGCTAGGTGGAAACTGCTGACCACTGGTCAGGCCTTCAGGACCCTGGGGCTGGGCCTTGAGTACAGCCAGGGCAGCAATAAGAAGGCTGTGTGGGCCAGGCTTAGCAAGAAATCCTCATGGAGCCCCTGGTCTCTTAGGGTTCTGCAGCTTCCAAACCTTCTGAGTTGATTTGGCTCCAGAGGAGTCCTGGACTATTTCACTCCAAAGCAACGTCTTCACACTTCTGGAATGCCCCCTCCACACTTGTTGGCCATTGCTCCAGAGGTGTGCTTAAGAGTCCTGACCTAGGAGCACCTGAGAAAGCCAGCTATGCGCCTCCTACAGGCCTTTGACCCTTTCTCCAGTTCTCCTGTCTGCACCCCAAGTTCATGAGAGGGTCACCGCTTTCCACTTCACCCCCACCTCCCTCTCTCAACTCAGTGTCCCCCGCTGGATCTTCATCTCCTTGGCACCCCCCTCCTCCTACCAGGCCTCTCGGGCCCACCTCTGATTGTCCTGAGGGGAATAATGGGGGAGCGGGGTTGGCTGAGAAAGAAGGGGGAGGGGAGTGTAGTTCAGCGCTGCGAGGGGGCTCCCTCCCCTAAACCTCCAAGCTGGGGCTGGGGGACACACCCAGAGCTGAAATCCCAGGCGGCGACTGGGGGTGGGGGAGGAGGAGGGAGGAGGAGACCCTAATGGCTATTCTCTGCAAACCCCAGCCTTCCTCAAAAGACAAACGGCCCCGACTCCAGCCCGTGCCGGCGCGGCTGATAAATATTTAAAGCTAAAAGGCTGGGAGGAAGGGTGGAGGGCGGGCCGGGAGCGCAGGAGCCGGGGAGCATCGAGGAAAACCGGGGCTGGGACGGTGCGCCGGGGCCGTCGTCAAGAGGTGCAGGGTCCCCAAGGCCCACCTGGGCCCAGAGCACTCTGGACGCGGAAAGGGGGAGCTTGGGTGCCCCGGGGAGCGCCCCGGGGATGTGCCCGGCCGCTGCGGCTAGGAAGGCTCGGTGCGCGGCGTTACCTGAGCTTCGCATCCAGGGGTAGATCCGGAAGTTACTCTCGGCCAAGTCCGAGTCCCTCTGCTCCTTGGCGCCCGGCGCCTTGGCGGAGTCCCCGGGACACACCCCGGAGAGGCTCTGCTCAAAGGGCGCGCAGTGCATGTTGAAGGAACTGGGCTCGAGCCCGTAGCCGGCCGTGTAGACGCCGGCGCCCTGGCCCGCCAGGCCCCCCCCGCCCGGGTACAGACCCTGCACGGGGGCGAAGGGGGCGCCCGCCGCCCCATACCCCGGGCGCGGGGGGTTGGAGGCAAACGCGCAAGAAGTTTGTTCGGGAAAGGCTCCGGCAGCGAAAACCGAACTTGCGGCTGGATATTTAGAAAATAAAGCATTCGCATAATACAATGAACTCATAATCTGGCCGGATGATTTGTACGCAGGGACGTTTAAGTGTCGGTTTTACGAGATTCCTTGATATATTACAGAATTAGAGTCCAGATTTACACCAAAAAGGACCCCCTTTTTCCTCTCCGAACCACGTGACCTCCGCCCACGTGACGTCTCCTCGGCCAATGACCGGGCCTCCCCACGGCTCCGGGTAATGTGGAAAAAATTGTGTGGCGTTGGATTTATAAAATATGATCAATAATGAATGGGAGAGCCAAGTCCTGCGGACTGGGGCTGGGGGCTCAAGGGCCGCTGTCGACCCCTGCGGGCTGGAGGCAGCTTGCAGGCGAGATTTGGGAAGCAAGGAATTGAGTGAAAGGGAAAATAAATAACCTCTGGTCGATCTGTGGTGTCACCCCCCAGCCACGCTCCCAAGCCTGTTCTCCAGCGAGGGACAAACGCAGAAATTGCACGCAACGGGGGGAAGGGCCCAGCAGGTCTTTATTAATCTGGGCCAATTCAGCCCAGCTGGGCCTTTGGGGGATTCGGTCTGGCTGCCCCAAGGTGGGAGACAAGGGAGCCTGGCCTCCCAGCTCTGTCGGTGTCCCAGGCCCTGGTGGGGTGCACTGAGGCTGTGTGGTCCACGTTTGATGTGGGTTCTCTGAGGCCTTGGGAGGCAGCCCCACCCCCAGGGATGGGGGTGGACGCTGCAACTTCTGGTGGCTAAAAAAAAAAAAGGTTTGAAAATAAAGAGGAAGGGGGTGGAGTGGGTGGGGAGAGAAAGGAAGGGATGAGGGCGGCCAGGGCACGCTGCTCCCCGGGTTCCGGGCGGCGGATGCCTCGCCGGAGGACAGCAGAGGAAGGAAGGTGGCGATCCGGAGCTGGAAACAGGGGAGCCGCGTGCGCTCCGGAGGCCCCATCCCGGGCGGGCAGGAGAGCGGGGGGCATCCCCCCTGCTGCTCCCCCCACGGGAGTCAGGGAGAAGTAAGACCAGGAGCCTGCTCAGCGGCCCTCCACCTCTACCTTTACCCCTTCCACGCGCACACGCTTGAGACAAAGGGGAGGGTGGCCGGGACATGGCCACTCGCCTGGCAGCTCAGCCGGGGCGCGCGGGTCTCCGGGGCCCGACCGCCTCGGAGGAGGGGAGGGGGCTGCTCTAGGCTCCCCCCCTCGCCCCGCTCTCCTCCAATCACGCGCAGCCGCCTCCCTCACCCTCGGAGCCCCTGGGCCTAGGGACTCTCGCCACCTGCCTACAGCCCCCGCCCCTGCTCTCTGCGGCCTGGCCTCGGTGGGCGGGCGCGGGGGGGGGGCCGGGTCCGCTGCCCCCCAGCCCTGCGAGCAGGGCGCCAGGGAGCAAATGAAGCAGCGCAGGCAGGACCAGTCTCAGGTTCTTGCTTGTAAACTTTATTGTAACTCTTCCGCCCTTTCCGGGCGCAGACAACAGGACAAAGTATAGAGGAACAACAAAATATATAATTAGCCCCCCTCCCCCCCATAAAGCAATTCACGGATACAGGATACATTCTCTTCACAGTAAACCTAAGAACACTTTTAACAATTGCCCACAGCGCGCATGCTAACTAAAGTAACCTCTTTTGAGAAACACTTAAGACGAAATTGTCAAACCAAAGGCGGGGGAGAGAAGCAATAGAGAGAAAGCCAGCGATCAGGGGGGGTGCAGAGGAGGGAGAGGGGCCGGGAGGGGGAATGAGGGTGCAGCGAGAAAGAGAAAACAGAGAGAGCGAGCGAGAGAGGGAGACAGAAAGAATTATGGCGTGAATAGGCAGTTTCATGTTGTTGGGAGAACTTAGCAGAAATCAGTACCTCGGTCATTACAAAGAAGCACGTTCAAAGGAAGAAGAAAAAAAAAAGACCATTGCACAAGGAGGCTTTTTACAGGGGGCAGGGCCGGGGCGCTCAGCCTTGCTGGGCGAGGGAGTCCTTGCTGCGAATCCTTGTCTTGTCCCCGGCCGGCCCGGGAGAAGGGAAGGCGATCCACGGTAGCCCACACACAGAAGCTATTACAGATACTACCACTAGCGGGGACTGGCGCGGCGGGGACGCTGCGGTGGGGACGCTGCGGCGG